TTTTTTTTTTTTTGTTTAGCATCTAAACAGTTAAACAAAATTAATTGGTAATTTAATTAGTGGACAAATTTTAGCAAATGTATCAGCAGTCCTTTTTTACGGAAAATTACTCACTGGGGGTGAGAGTTCCGGTCCTTGGTGGCAACGTTGGTGTCTAGTTCCTAAAAAGTTTGCCTTTTGAAGCTTTCTGTTTTATACTTATTGTAGATCTATTTTACTTATGTCTTTTACATATCGCATTTTTAACCTCGAATCGTTTTACACTTATCAATGTATGTTTTGCCTTATTACTGAAAAATGCTACAGTTAGTTTTAGGCTGTTTTATTTGTTTTATATTGTTGGAGTTGCTTTATCTGTGGCTGCCATTTTGGTTATCTTTTTGTATCCAAATCTTTTTGGTAAGTTCATTATGATTGTCTTTTATAAACCATTATATGTTTTTTTTTTTGTTTGTTCAGTTCTGGAACCGTTTGATCATAATTGCTCTTTTTTTCAATTGAAAAGAACTTCTTTAACTGTAAAAGATTCTTAGAAGTCAATGCACTATGAATGTTCTGAATTGTAATGCAAAAATATTTCTGATTTAGATGCGAAAGAATTGAAAACTATTGGTCTTATTGGATTTCTTTTACACACTTTTCGCCGACTATATGAAACTTTATTTGTATCTGTGTTTTCAAGTCACTCAAAGATAAATATATTTCACTTTTTAACTGGAATCATTTTTTATGTGATGGCTGTAGTATCTCAAGTGGTCTGCTTGCAGGAGAACACTGATACATGTAAGAGATTATTATTGAAATTTTATACAGTATTTCGTTCTAAAGTTTGATTAATATCTAAATGGTGTTTTACTATCTAAATATAATTAGAAAAAAGTTCTCTCATATAATCTGTAATTGTGGTGACTAGTTCAAAAAGAAAAGAAATGATGAATTTTTGAAGTAATAGCTGAAAAAAAGCTGGCGGTCAGCGAGACACTTGGAATGACTAAACTTTATTACTCATTTGCAGTAAAACACAAACCCAAATTTGTCACCGATATCAGCACTTTTGAATTTGTAATTATGGGATTTTTCCTCTTTTGCCAGTATCAGCAACACCTATGTTTTAAACGTCTGGCAAGCATTCGGTCTGCGAAAGATGGTGAAAAGTTTCTCCATTTTTTTCTCTTTTTTTTGGATTTATTTAAGTGTCGGATAAATTCTAAAAAAAAATTTAATTGTAAAAAGTCTTTGCATTTAGTAGCATTAATTGTGATTTGTAATTTGTTTGCTAGACATAACTAACAGCAGTTAGAAATGAAAGTTTTTTAGGTGCCATTAAACCTGATTTATATGGAATTCCATGTGGCCATTTATTTAATTATATTTCATCACCGCATTACACCATTGAAATTATTCTTTATATATTATTATCTTTTTATTATCGATTATGCAGCGTAATGGTGTTCTGTTGTTTATTTGTTACAGTTAACCAGACAGTAGCTGCTATTCTGACACATCGGTGGTATTTAGAAAGATATGGAAACAAATATCCAGCATCTAGGAAGGCTCTGATTCCATTTTTTTTATAGAAGATCTTGTATAGTGGCTTCTGGGTTTAAGTTCTTGACAAGAAACATACTTTCTGTTTTGCCTGTACACCACTAAGATGCACTGTATTTTGTCGTCAAGTGGCTGAATTTGAAAGTGATCTCCAACCTTCTTGTAGAGCAACTTTTACGTGCTATTCAACAATGTTGTATGTTAAACTGTGGAAAAATCTGTACTTTTTGAGCATTTGCAGCTGATGGATGAATGAATGGATGTTGTTTCTGATAGCTCTTGAAATAGAAATTTTTATTGGTGAGTGAGAAGATTACATCAGTACTGTTTCCGCTGCACTGGTTTTTTTGTCACTTAAAACTTATTAAGTTAACTTCTTTACTGGTAGATGCCAATCGCACCGTTACAGAAGATGCAAATCTGCTTGCTGAGAAACCCTTCAAACTGAATTCAACTGAATGACAACTTCAGAAGAGAGCCCAAAATGTTTAAATAAAAATGGCTCTTTGCATTGTTTAGCTAATATAAAGACCTCATTTGGCAACTCATTAAGCAACAACAAAACCGAATCCACCTTTTTGACAAGAACAGAGAGAAAAATCAGCTTAGTGGTGTCATTACTGGCAGCGTAATTTTTTCCTTTTTTGTAGAGTTGTCTGAAACCTAGACATAACTTGAACCGCAGTTGTATACCTTGTAAAAGAAGTGCCTCACTAATGAGGTGTTAAAAAGGTCGAGTATATAGTATTAAAATTATCGCTTTATTTTACCAGTTATATGTCATCAGTATTATGTCAGTTATCAGTTCCTGTCTTCTGCAATAAGTGTCGCAAAGAAACCCCTCTTAAATCACTGCTTTGTTCTTTCTTCTACACACCATCGCAGTGGCGAAATCCGCAGCTAAGGAATGCTGCCGGGTCAAAAGTATGAATAAACTGTTTATTCATTTTTTTAGTTAAAGAATAGACGAGAGCCAGAAAGAGCTTATGAATGAACAAATGCATACAAAATAAATAACCAGTTTTACACAAGAAAAAAGCGAATCGCAACGATAACACGGTTTACCTAACAATGTCAAAGGTTATGAATTAAAGAAAAACAAGCGTCAACCAGATTTAGACTTTCAGCTTTCGTCGTTCGGTCCCTCTACTATACAAAAATCATTGCTGGGCACTTCTACTTGTCAAATAAATCAAGTTTTTTACAAGCAGGTCAAATAATATCATTTTTTGAGAGTTAAATTTGACTCTGCTGCTGAAAACCATTTCCCTTTCAAACCGATGTCACCCTCTAAAGCGTTTTCAGTGTCTGCAGTCTCAAATTTCCCTCCTACACTTCTTTGTAGACCAGTTGAGACGCCTACTTCATTCAAGGTCATGACTTTGTCAGACGTCAAATTCTGTAGTTTCAGCGGCTGACCTCCATTAAACAACAACCTTCCTGATCGTCACAACGTCTTCCAAAATGCGCGATCTCCGCTCCGCTCCCCTCTTTGGAGATTGCCCGCAGTTTCATCGTCATATCATTTCCTAACATGCTTTGCATACCCAGTGTACCATTGTGAACTATGCTGCAATGTTATTCACTTTACCAGGAGCTACAGCGACAGATTAAACCTGTGTCTTAAGCAGGAGTTCAAGCTTTAATATCCCTTCTTCATCAAGAAGCTGGCCAAAATTAAAGGAAGTGTCTGCTCGAAAAAGATGGAAAATGTATTTTCGGAGTCACTGATGGGCAAGACGACAAAATTTGAAGCTTTTACCGTTTCCTCCCGTCATCTTTATACTTTAACTGGTTAAGAAATAGTGTTTTATGAAATAAATTGATTTTTTAAAAGACTTTTACAGCATAACATAACAGGTAATCATACTGTTCAGTTTATAAATCATGCAAAAGAAGCTGAAAATATTTATGACTAATACAAAAGGAAAAAGAAGGAGCAAAAACTATACGGATGTTGTTTTGTTATTAAGTCTTCTGATTAAAAGCTGTTTGATAACTGCTTATTGAGGTTATCTGGAAAGTAAATTGTTGCTTGAATGTTGTTGTAAAAACTATCATGTTTCCTTATTTGTTTTGGGTTTCAGGCTTAAAATGAAAAATATACACAGTAACAACTACAAGATAGGTGCTTAAAAACTGCACATTAAAAATGAATGTTTCGCTTCAAGTTGTCAACAGGAATAACTTCCTGCTAAACTGCAACTGTTTAAAAAGCAAAAAATTTTTGGTTTTTTTAGGAGTTGTTTGCTTAGAGATACAGAAGGAAAAAGGTATTACCATACTTAGTTCTTCTGGAAAAAAAAAATAAAATAGAAAAAGAAAAAAAAGACTGCGGGTAAGCTTTATTTGCTAAAAACACTATAAATGGCTGACCGTGTTATGATTTTCGAAACTGTAGGTATTCAAATGTTAATCATTTCCACTGTACGTACAAATAAGTTAAGGAATTATCAGAAATTATCAAAACCGTTAAGAAAAAAATTTATAATTTTAACTGCAAAAAAAAAAAAGTATAACTTTAAGTAAAAATAACTTATATAACTGATAAATTGTAGAGCTGAGCTATCTGATAAGGTAAATGCAATGTTTTAAATTTTATTGTCGCTTTTTCATCGACACTTTTTTGTTTAGAAAATTTTAGAAACTTTTCAATTCAATTTTAAATTGTTAGGTGGTGTATAACTGTATCCTAAGCTATGTATCTGAAAATGTGACCATTGGCCAACATTTATTTTGATACTTTTAGTTATCTCAGATGACAACAACAGTTTAAAGCACTTAGTTGCAGAAATGTTGAATTTGAAGATTTTTGTGCCTATGTAAAAGATGAAAATAATTAACCTTAACAAAACAAAGTATTACATATAAATTTGTGTAATTTTTATTTATTAAAATAATGCTATATAATATTGAAAAAAAAAA